TGCTTTCCGAATGGTTCTACGATACTTTCAGTTGAAATTTCTGAATTGTTGTAGATTGAGATTTTGTGTGTATCTCAATATTGTTCTATGATTTCAAATGTTTTTTCAAGTTGGGCGAAATCAACTGTGCGAGAATAGACTGAATTTACGACATTTCCAAGGCTTTAGTTTTCAGGATCTAGATGTTTTAATAAAAATTTTTGGTATATCTATCTCAAATGAAATTCTTCTAGAATTACTGCGAGTGACTTATATTACGTGACCGAGTGGGCAAGGCAAGTTACTTCAAACTTTTTCTAAAATTTTCAATTTTTTAGGGTAAAATGATAGAGTATAATGAAATTATTCTGGTTGTCATATTTTTTCCCTTCATTAAAGATTGCTGTCTAAGCCCTATATAAGGTTGTGAATTGAGACTAGAATATGACATCCCTCTTTTTTTGTAGTTTTGAGAAAATTATACCTCTCCTTTAAATGATTCATTTTCTACATAAAATTTCAAAATGTTGCGAAGCGTTTTAGGGTTTCTCGTTTATAATTACCTGTTGTATCTAGTCTCTTTATAGGATTGTGATTTCACAGGGAAAATGAGGAAATAGGATCGTGATTTCTCAGGGAAAATGAGAGAAATCAGTTATTGAGAAATTATGAATGTTCGAAGTGTTCATTGTCGACGAATTTAATTCAGACTGTTATATAGGCGCTGAATTAATTTTTTAACGAAAGTTTTAAACATTTGTTAGGCTCAAATTTACTTTTTCGAGGTTTGACTTGTGATTGCTTTTTCAGTTCTGTTCATTTCCTTTATTAAAAGGAAGGCAAATTAGTATCGAACAGCTAAAGTGTAAAGGTCTCTGAAAAACTTGATCAACTTCTAGTTTGGAAAGTGGAATGTAATTTTTCAGATTTCCTAGTGGAATTTCAATTTTTGATCCAATTTTCTCAAATTGGGTTTGTGCAATCTTAAAATATCCATCATAAATTGTTCTGGAAACTCAAAGCCTTGTGGGAATCTATTTTTTGTGTAAAATTCGAATGTTGAGATTTTTTCATAAAATAAGTCTTTCTTTTTTGTTTGCTTGCCTTTATTGACTTTTTTCGAGCTAAATGTTGACTGTGTTCTGTTATTCGAAAAATTGTTTTTCAAAATTATTTTGTAAAATCTTGGTTTGTCGTATTTTGTTTCATGACATAAAACAGCCTGTTGAACTTTTCCTACATGGAACTTTTCAAAGTACATGGAAAAGTTGGGAATCTTTTTGTTATACGCATTCGCTTGTTTGATTTTTGGTTGCCTCTTTGACTTTGTTTTAAAATCAATTTTTAGAACTTTCGGAATACAGAGGAATTTGAGAGTTTTGTTTTTTCATGTGTTTTTTCAAATTTGCTCCTTCTTTCAAAACGCTGCTCAGGACTGCGAATCATTTTTGATAATATGACACTTCTAAATGTTCTTATTTTTGAGAATTGGTTATTTCAATAGAATTTTAAAAAGTGAAAGGAAAGTTCCTTTATCGGTACCTGGCTTGGCCCTTGATTTTTGCACGATAGGCTTCAAATGCGGTTCACTCAATATTAAATTTTGGACATTTTTTTTTTCAGTTTTGAAACACTCCGTATTGTCTTCTATCTGTAGCTTATTCCATATAGGTGCCTATAACTAAACTCGCGATTAATGACTGAAGTGTTTAATGACTTTGAAATGATAATCTGGAGCAGCAAATCTGAAGCAGCAAATGAAGGAGCGGCATCAGTTTTTACTGCCAGTCTGCCACTGGCAAATTCATTTGGCTGAAGTTCATTCTACAGCAAATGGTACTGGATTAATTATTAGGCGAATTATGAACCGAAAAAGTGCATATCTCTATGGGGTCCATTTTTGAGCTTGCATTATTAATGATTGATTTTTGGAATCGGAATCACAGTCTAGCTGCGCCTTAAAATGCTTGTTTATGCAATAGACTTCAATTGGATTGCTAGGCGTCAATTTATTTTATCTGAAAAAATCGTGTTAGTATTCTGTTCATTCGTTATTTTAGATTAGCGTCAACAGTAATCTCGGTTTTTGTTGGTCTGTAGATAGCGTTTGTTGTCCTAGACTATCATTTCGTCAATTTGTCAACGACTTTTTTTGCTATAACTTTAATTAAATCCACGTAGAACAATATAGCTTGGACACTCGCGAATTGTTCAAATCCTTTCTTCGCGCCTGCTGTAGCTACTTCTTTGAATGTAAACTGGCTCAAGTTCTTAGTGCTCGTTCTTAGTGCAGCATAATTCACCATACCGTTTTTAAGCGCAGCCTTGAAACCGCCTGCAAACGCGTCCTCTAGCAATTCTTTAGCAACCTCTTTTGATTCCATTTTTAGTCCCTCGTTGAAAATATGTTGGGCAGCTTTTGAAGTTAGTCCTTGAGCTAACTCCTTGGCGAGTCTCTGTCCCACTTCTTTGCCCACTTTTTTTTCTGCTTCCTTGCCAGCCTGCTTTACTGCGGTTCTCGCAGCTTCGATGGTAGCTTGCTTCGCTGCTGTTTTTGCAGTGTTAGTTGCCGCAACCGAGACTCCCATAGTGGCAATGCTGACGGCTCCACCAATTACGTCAAAAACCAGCTCCGTTGTGTTTCCTTCTTTTATATCTGTGTATATTTCGCATGCTGTTATTGCAATCTGTACACCCATTCCCAAAAATGGCATACCTGTTAGGTATGCTCCAGTGACGAGCGCAGTCTTTGCCAGAGGTTTTCCAACCTTTTTCACGACAGACATTTCCTTTTTCGTTTTTTCTGGTCAATCTCTAAAAAACAGTATACACTTAGTTTTCTCGACACTGGGAACATCTTTAAGAATGTCGTTCTCGAATCAAGACTGTAAGGGTTTTAATATGATATGTCACTCAACCCAGTCCAATGATTATTTGTGGTGCCTTATTTTGCGTGAAAAAGAAAAAACTGAAACAACCGAATTCAACGTTCCTCCCCTTTTCACTGGTCGGAACATAAATTGGGGTACAATTTTTGCATGGCTGGAACCGCAAGTAGCACTACTCTTGTTGTGAGTGCGAGTGATTCAGCTCGCGGGTTGGGTCAAATATAATGGGGGTTTGTTTGCTGTTTTATTTATATGCTGATATTTTCAACACTTGGATTTTTATGAAGCGGAGTTAAACGAGCGAGTGAGAAATGTTGAAGATGGCCATGTTTGACCAGTGTGGTGGGGATTTTGATGTTCCGTTCTGTTTTCAAGATACTTATAATTAATGATATGCGAGGCTGTTCTCGCTAGAAATCATAGCGAGAAAACTCACGGTCTTAACTAATGAATTTTCTGGTGAACGAAGAACAGTGTGTGAAAAAAAGTCAAAAACTGAAAGATCGAAACAAAGTTCAAAGTTTTTCAGGCGCTGTTTTTTTACTAAAATTGATTTATTAATGTTTTCGTTTTCTTTGTTGAATTGTACTTTCCGATAATTATAGTCAATTTAAATATGAATTGAAATGTTTTCTACCTCAGAACAGAAACGAGGCAGAAATAGAGGCAGTTCTCAAAATTTACCTGATGCAATTGGGAGTTGCCCTCTAACATCAATTTTCGTTGTGGTATGGCGGTAGAGCTAAGTGTTTTACAGCTTCTTGGTCACGATTTTAATTTTTGTGTTCGAATTTTGATTTATAATGAGTTTTGTGAGTTGCAGACAGAACCGCAGAGTTTTGAAAATATTTTTCTCAGTTTCTTTCTGAGACGCTGACTAAACAGCAAAAGATATTTTTTTATATATCACATGAAAAATATATCACGGCGTGTTCTACAAAATATGCTATTATTATATATCTTGCGAATCATAATTAGGTGTATAAAGCAAAAAGTGCTATTTTTAATTATCTTATGAATTATATTACGGTGCTTATAACTTTGATCACGATAACTGATTGGCGACAGAAAACTAAAACTGTCTAACCTAATATTTACAAACACATACGATTTATGAATTTCAAGTCCTGAAAGTGTGCGATAAAATATGATGGCCGGTGCCGACAAGTAGCAAAGAATGTTCCGACCATATTCTTAAAAAATATTTTAAAAATTTCCTTTTTTTAATTAGTTATTTTTTGTGTGTCGTGTGATAAAAAGTCTCACGGCGTATCTTTCTATAAAAAGCCTGCTCGCTGGAATTACTTGCTCGAAATTAGGCAAAAATCATTTAAAAAATTGAAGCAGTTTTTTTCAAAACTGTGAGAACTCTTTGATATTTTTAATGTTCGAATCAGGACTGAAAAGCCGTTAGTATGATGTATCACTCGACCCATTCCGATGAAAATTTGTGGTATTTGATTTTGAGTGAAAACAAAAGCATCCGAATACAAATTTCTTCGCCATTTTCAATGGTCGGAACAAATAGCTCTCGAAAATGTTAATGCGATGTGATGATTTGATGAACACTGTTCTCTAAACCATGTAGAGTTAGTCCAACTAAAGCGTAAATTGATGGTCATCTCGTTCTTAGTTTCTACTGAAGGGTTTCTGCTTAATCTTGTGACCAAAATAATGTCCCTATCAAACATGTAATAGGAAAAGACTCAAAAATTATTGATGCACTTAGATATAATGCACTTTTTGAGTTCGACTTTTTGCTCAAGTTGGGTTCATTTTATCAAAAAAGCGCCAATCATAATTTTTTCTAGAAGCTTAAAGAGCTTAAAGGGCATCTATTTTTTTCTTTGAAATTCGATAGTTGAGATTTTTTTTCAAGAAAGTCAGTGTTTTTTATGTTAATTTGCGTTCAATACTCTTTTCCAATCTTTGATTGGCTATGTTCAAGGAGTACAAGTTAAAGAGAAAAAATAGAATATTTAGTTATTGTTTGCAAAAAACTTGGTGTGCCTAAGAGGAGGTGCTTAAGACTTGAGTATAACACTTAAGGAGATTGCTTGAAAATCCTGAGTAAAACTATACTGAGTAAACCTTGCTTGAAAACTATACTCAGGATTATTTTCTGTCTCCTAGGCAGCCAATGCCCTCCTGGCCCAGCGTATCTCCAGCATCAATGCCATATCCGCCATCTGCGAGGCCACAGGCGCTGACGTCACTCAAGTGTCACATGCAGTCGGATTCGACAAGAGGATAGGCGACAAGTTCCTACAACCCAGTCTAGGTAAGTTGAATCTTTGTTATGCTACGTTTTCCCATCATTATGACTGATCTAAAATTATGGAAAATAACTCTTAAATTACTGAAATAACGAAAATTTGAACATTTTGTTGACCTTTTTTTAGGGCGACCAAATTGATTTTCCGAGCTCTCCCAAAGCACTAAAAAGATCCTGTTTTCTGCGCCGCTTTTTTTGTACTTTTTGGAAAATTTTGAACAAAAAAATCGCGTTTTTTCCGGCGCGAGCTCCCCCTAAAAATTAGTATGTATTGGCGCCGAAGGTTCCGTCACAAATTTTTAGGTTCCGTCACCAAAATGGATGTCTCAAATGGATTACTATTTTATTTTGAATATAAAAGCTATTGAAAGGGGAAGAATACTTAGGGATAAATAGTAGATCGAATTTTCGACGAATGCGAAATACTTCGAGATTAGGCACCGGAATCATGCCTTTATTCAAGGTCGATTGAGGCGTGGAATAACGTGTTATATTTTATTGCATTCTTTCTGTAATAGGTTTCGGTGGCAGTTGTTTCCAGAAGGACATCCTCAACCTGGTCTACCTCTGCGAGTCCCTCAACCTCCCCGAAGTGGCTGACTATTTCCATCAGGTACGTTCGTGTTAAAATTTGGCAGTTGGCTAACGAGAATAATCCGAAAATTGATTTACATTATTTGGTATTTAAAAGTTGGAATTATGAAATTTAAAAATTTTAGTTATGAATCATTGCCTTCTTTATTTGGTTTGTGTAGATTGTGGCCATGAATGACTACCAGAGACGTCGCTTCGCCCGCCAAATCTTAGCCGCCCTGTTCGACACAGTCAGTCTGAAGAAGATAGCTGTGCTCGGATTCGCATTCAAAAAGAACACAGGAGACACTAGGTAATAAATGTTATAATAAATGTAATAATTGTGATTGATTGGTTAAGTTATGGGCAAGTAATCCCCTCTTGAAAACGGATTTATGATAAAATTTCCGACCTTTCTCGAGAATGGATCACTCTCGAAGAAATATGAGGTCTTTTTATTTTTTCCGCCCAAATTGCCTAATTTTTTAGTATTCAATGTATAAATGCTGAGAACAACATACTGATAGCACTGGTTGATTTGGTCAATACAAATGCGATTACTATACTCTTAAGCCGACTTCTAGCACGGCCGAGTTTTGAGCAGATTCAAAGGTTATCAATTTTTGTCCTTGGAGCTGTTCTCTGTTTTTTTTCTATCTGGTTTAAACTCTGAAGAGTATTTGAAATAATTTTGATAAGTGAACTAAAATTTTTTCTTGAGCAGATACGATTATTTGTTTCCCTGGAGCTGTTTTCTGTGTTTCCACGGAGCTGTTTTATTTCTAATCTGGGCAAAACACTGGAGCGTATTTGAAATAACTTCGAGTAATTTACTGAATATTTTTCATTCTAGGCCAATTCGGCTTATTTGTAGTTTGGCTAATCAGATTGAAGCAAAATAGTTTCAATTCAAGATGACGAAATTATGGTTTTTGGGCGGAATAAGTAAAAAGACGCGAAATAGGGATTATGGTCGGTTCGTTTTTTTTCCGTTCAGTTTTGACTACCTCAATGAAAGATCATTGGGAGTCAAGTGTGGTTTCAAGAAAAACTGGTACGAATATTTAGATTTCCAGACTAAATTAGACGAATGCTGAGAGGCTGGCCGAATGTTCCACGTTTCGCCCCACACACTTTTCGCCCCTAATAATTTCACACATTTCGTCCTCGCACGTTTCGCCCCCAACTTATTACACAGTTAATTTACCGCCGCTTTCTTAATCTACATTTTGAGGGGGTTAAATGTGTGAGTACCAGGCTGACCTCCCAACTTCAATTTTCTAGAATTTTCTACTCAATGCTGTTACGTTTCTGTAACTATACTTACTATTATTTCTGACAAATCACTAGTATTTCCGCTTAAATTTGAACAATTCGTTTTAAATGTTTTAACGCTTATTTGCCGTCTTAAAGTCTTGGGAAAACACGGATCGCAGCTTTTCCAGTTTGATTTTTTTCTGAAATTCTTTTTTAAAATGACTTGTCATACTATAACTGCATTAAAACGTGTCAACGTGAACACAGGGGCGGATCTAGGATTTTCTCGAGGGGAAAGGCGAATTTTCGAAAAAAAGAATTGAAAAAAAAAATACACCAGTTGTTAGACACAATATACAAAATTATGAATTTCACCATATTTGTTTGGCTTTGGTTGAGTTGGAACCAACGAGCACGATCCAAGTCATACCCGCAACAGATGCGAAGTATATCTCACTAAGCATTGGTGTATTGGTTGACACTTACACACGAGCAAATGGTGTTAAGCAAAATGTCTATGAATACATGCGATTCATTGACTCATGTAAATTTTTGAATTCTTCGTCACAAAAACTTGTTGGTAATTTACCAGCTGATAAGTTCTCTATACTAGATGAACACTTCAAACAAGCTGATGAGAGTTCTCGTACACTTCTAAAGAGGAAAGGTTTTTACCCTTATTCCTATATGACAAATCGATTAAAGTTTGATGAACAAAATCTGCCACCACTCAGTGCATGGGGAAACTCATTAGAAGGAGGAAAAATCAGTTTTAGTGAAGAAGATTTAAAACATGCTCGAACAGTCTTCGATAAATTCAATTGCATAAACTTAGAGCAATATCACAATCTCTATCTCACATGTGATACTCTTCTTCTCGCATGTGTTTTTGAAGTGTTTCGTTTGATAACTCACGCAAGCTTTTCGAATTGTTTTGAAAAAACAGGCCAAATAAGGGCGTTTTTAGGCACTCCTTGTAAAATGTTGACCAAAAAATTGCGTCTTTAGAAAACTTTTAGGGGCAGTCAGCCAAAAAGGGATATCTGAAAATAGTACAAAGGGGGACCTTTTGGGTCGGCAGGGGGTCGAATCCCTGATGGTGGGCTTAAGTTCCCCCTAAATCCGCTGGTGCGTGAACAGGTGAACAAGTTTTTGCAATATTTCAACATACAAAACGCCGTAAAAAGTTTTTGAACAGCTTTATTTTGTAATTTTTTTATGAAGGCGTGGGGAACTGGAAAAGGCAAACTGGTTGTTTGCATTTAAAAGAGATCATCGTGTTGTTATTTTTCGTCTGTTTAGCTATAAGTATTTTTAAGAGTAATGAACGTAGTGAAGACTCTTATATAGGTCTTGCTGACTTTTTTCTGTTTTTTTTCCAGGAAAAAACATTAAAATTGTGATGCACTTTTATATATATTGATTCTCTTTTTGGTATATATGCACTTTTTGAGTTCGATTGAAATTCATCTGCTGAAAGTGACTTAAATAGCACTCTCCAAATACAAACGTGGAAATAGCGCAAAAATAACGTGTACGATTTCTAGTTTCGAAAGTGGAATTTAATTTTGAGATTTCCAGCGGAATGAACATTTACGTATTGATCCAGTTTTCTCAAGTTGGGTTAATTTTATCAAATAAGCGGCAATCATAAATTGTTCTAGTAATTCAAAAAGCTTGAAGGGCATCTATTTTTTTCTCTGAAATTCGAAAGTAGGTTTTTTCAAGAAAGTCAGTGTTTTTGTAATGTTTACTTGCGTTCATTACTCTTTTCCAATCTTCGATTGGCTATGTTAATTGAATTGTTGCCTGACTCGGTGGCCAGTCAATGAGCAGAATGCTCGAAGAGCAGAAAGGATCCAAGAGCAGAAAAACTGAATAATATCATTTTTTATAAGCTAATCGGTAAATTGATTATGTCAATAATACCAATTTTGGCCTAAACAGGGACTTTTTAGTGCTTTGGGACAGCTTGATAAATCAATTTGGTCGACCTAAAAAAAGTTCGACAAAATTTTTGAAAATCCCTTCACCCCCTCGAGAAAATCCTAGATCCGCCCTTGTGTAGCAGTATGTTTTCAAATTTTGTTTTGTTATTTCGCAAAGTTTCCCCCCTAACCATGTTCAGGAGAATTTAAAAAAGGCGCCAAAAGTGGATTTTGATGAGAAATAAGGTAACCCAATTATGTTTGTTAAACTGTAAAATAAACAGAAGCGACTAAATTTCTTGATATAAACAATGAATTAATTGCAATTTTCGATCTGAAAAGTTTCTGACTGAACATTTCAAAGATTTTTGAAATGAATATTTTATTCACAAATTAGTTTTCAAAATTATAACATGCAAAATCGAGGGACCACTCTATCATTGTAGTACGAAACATTGGGTCTTGAAATGAATAATGAATAAATTTGGCAATTCAAATTTCGAGTTGCAATTAAAAGCGAGTGCAATAAGCAGCAGCTCGATTAGAAAACCTTGTGATAAATTTGACAAACTTATGTTTGCATGCAAGTGGTATTTAATTGTTTGTTTCACTCGCTTTCGCGCTTTCAATTTCAACTCGAAATTTGAATTGCCAAGTTTATTCATTTTGGCGGGGGGGGGGGGTTATAACCGAAAAGACCCAAAAAAAACAATTTAACATTGCCGTCTTCATACTTATCATTTTTCTGTTTTTCTGCACTTGGACCATTCTGTCGTCGGATTCAAAATTATAGGAATTGTTACTGATCAGATTCTTTGTAGGCGAAAAATGGAAGTGTGGGGGATCGAACCCCAGACCTTCCGCATGCAAAGCGGACGCTCTACCACTGAGCTACACCCCCTCTTGTACTGTTCGAAGAATGGTATGTCTTGAAGAGAGCGCGGAGTTTTGCGCGGTTATTTGTGGTATTTGTTCTTGAGAAGCAATAAACTGGAACTTGTCCAATACACTTATTTCTCAACCATGGTATTGAGCAGAATATACTACAGCCTCTTGCTGCTTTTTGTATTTCCATTACAGCTGCTTGGTTGAACATGCACGGACTTTGCCAGTACTTGTGAATTAATTTCACTGGTTTCTAGTTGCTGGTAAGGGGATGTAGCTCAAATGGTAGAGCGCTCGCTTAGCATGCGAGAGGTACGGGGATCGATGCCCCGCATCTCCAATTTATTGCCAACTAATGGTTGCTTAAATATTTCAGAGAATCTTCGGCAATATATCTGTGCAAGTATTTGATTGAAGAAGGCGCCAGTTTGCAGATTTACGACCCCAAAGTGACAGAAAAACAAATGCGATGGTAATTTGCTATTTCATACTTTTGGGCTCTTCTTTTCCACCTTCCCCCCTCCCCTCATTTGAACTTTCGAATTTGAAAAAAAAAAACAGTTTAACACTGTCATCATGCTTGTATAGAGTTGGCAATGTACTAGTACCACCTAAAACGTGAAGTATGATGGACAAATCTGTTCACAGTTGTCAGTTTGTTCAATCTGTCAGTTGGGGGGGGGATTTGTTTTTACGGTTGATCCAAAATGTTTTGAGCTGCGTAAACGAAAAGATTCGGTGCATTTACTTACTTGTGTTACATGTGAAAGAGATGTGTGTGTGTGTGTTTTGTTCAGGGAGATTGGTCAGCTGACTGAGGCAGAGGCTCTGAAGGGCTCCTCAATCACAGTGTGTAGCAGTGCATACGAGGCATGTGATCAATCTCACGCTGTAGTTGTCTGCACTGAGTGGGACGAGTTCAAGGTCAGACAGCACAAGTATAGTAGAACGGTTACGCTGCAAAAAGTAGACCGGTCATAGAGTAGACACGTCGTAAGCCAATTAGAATAGATTAAAAAATACGCTTCGTTTTCGTACGCTTGTTTTCTTATCTTGAATCTGATTGGCTTACGACGGGATTTGGGAAATTAGGCGACAAGAAAATTAGACGATCAGAAAATAAGGGAATTTAGACGGGAATAAAATAAGGGAATAAATTCCGTTTCTTAAATTGAAATTCGAGATCAAGTTTCTGGAAATTTGAAAGTTGAGTTTTTTTTCAAAAATTAAGTCAGTACATCTTTCTGTTTACTTGCGTTCATTGGCTCTTTACAACTGTCTGTTGACAAATTTTAACTTCCGGCTGCTGTGTATATACTAATAAAAAGCGGAATATAGCATTTGTTTTCAATTTTGACTGAAGTGTTTTTGTGTTTCGACTTTCGAAGAAAGTGACGGAATATTTGTGCTCTGGTGGTTTTTTTCTCCAAACAAATATCGATTTTTAACTAGTACTTTTTGACGAAGTTCTTTTCTATATCAGTCGAAATGTATTGTTATCAGGGTTTAAAGCCATCCAATTTGGGACAATTAACGCGCGATAAAATTTGACGTCGACGGCGCTCTAGTTCGTCCTAGAAATGGCTCCAAATTGAATTGAGGCGTCATTTGGTCTTGTTAATACTTTGCAAAGTGTATAATTATGTTCTTTATATAACGTGTGTGGGTATTATTTAAAAACCTCAGAAATTTTTTCTGAACGTTCAGGGCTTTGCCTTTGTCATACCGCTACTGCAGTAGCAGTATTTATTATACGTATGTACAGCCAACCTCTGGTGTTAAATCATTATTTTATGGTACGCTCAAGGTCATACATAAGTGATGACACTGAGACTAAGTGAGAGATCAGAGTACTTAACAATGATCTATCTCTCAGTACATAAGAAAACAAAGAAAAGAGAAAATCTAAATTCAATATTCAGAATACAGTATTGAATTCCAACTTGTTTTCAATTTGATATCGCAACGCATATCACATGGCGCAGCCAGCAGGATTCGCAGCTCAAGACAACAGAACGGATATGGGAATCCCGGTATTTTGGGCATCAGCGAATCTAGACCCTCCGTGGCAATTTAAAATCTGGTTCGAACAATTTCTCATGGCGGTTACGGTCAAAGAAAATGTGAACCCAGAGATTATTTTGGAAGAACCAAAAGACATATTAGAGGAACCACCACCACGCCCGGAAACGCCCAGGGATGGGGAGAACGAAGATGCGAGGAACGCCAGAATTCTTAGAGATAAACTAGCTAGAGACAGAGTAGCATTGGAGAACGAAGAGAAAAGAACAAGAGGCCCACGAGTCGGACACAATGTCTTCTACAACGAAGTACAAAAGAAACTGGTGTCACGACTATTTCTATCTTTGGGCACTGAGGGAAAGAAAAGATTCCTACAAAAGAATCCGCACGCAGAAATATCGAAAATGACGTTCAGAGGAGTAACAGAGTTGGCAGAAGTATCGTTTCAAAAAGTGAAATGTGTAACATACGAGAGATACAAGTTATTTACGAGAATGCAAGAACCTGGAGAATCTCTGGAATCATTCCACGCAGCGTTAACTGCTCAAGCAGCCCGATCAGAACTAGGAACATTGGAAAATGAAATAGTGCGAGACTTGTTCATCTCGAAGATGAAGAACATGACATTACAGGACACGTTGACATTCGAAACCCTGGATCCAGAGGAAGTTCTAAAAAGGGCTATAAAATTCGAACATAGCAAGTTAACCACAATGGCATTTCAAAAGACTAATGCTGCGGCGGCAGGAGGATCAAGTAGCAATTACACATCGGGTGTAAGAATAAAACAGGAACCTGTAATGGCAGTTCGAAATTTGGGGGGGAAAACCAAAACTCCAAATAGAAGAGAAAATAATAACAGACAGAATAATAACAAAAATCAAAACACGAAAACAAAACCATGTAATAGATGTGGAAGGACGTTTGAACAAGGACACCTAAAAAATTGTCCAGCGATGGGAAAGGACTGTAAAAACTGTGGTAAACCAAATCATTTCGCTAAAATGTGCAGATCACAACAAGTAAGTGAAGTTGCGGAAGATTCGGAAGAATCGATAGTGGAATGCGACCAGATCAGTGAAGGTGTTGGGTCCTGTAGTGAATTTGAAGTCATGTTGATACAAACTCAACAACCGGAAAATGAACGAGTTTCAAAATATGTGAAAGATCGAATAAATGAGATGAGAAAAGAAACAAACGGAAAAGTGGTTAGAGTTCAGAAAATAGACTCTATTCGAGATCCAACATTGAACCGCGTAAAGTCACTAAAGGCTATGGTACGAATAGATAACCAGATTATTCAGCTAACAGTGGATACTGGTAGTCCTGTTTCATTTCATAACTGGGCAACGACGAAAGAAATCATGGAAAAATCAAACAAAGTGAGATTCATACCGTCTGACAAATTGAACTTACAAACAAAATTTGTGGACTACAACAAACAACCGATCAGTATCCTGGGAGCCCTAAAAACCAATCTGAGGTCAGCGGGCTGGGAAGTTAAGGGCGCAACCTTTCTGGTATCAGAGCGAAAAACTAGATGCATCATGGGATTAGACTTGCAAGGACAAGTGGGAATAGTGACTACACAAAGAACAGCGCCAAAAGAACTCACCAGGTTTGACGTGCTCATGTGCGAGCAGTCGGAAGGTTGGAAAGAAATATTTTTAAATAAATTTAAGAACTTATTCGAAAGGCAAGGCATTTCTAAAAACCACATCGTCAGTTCAAAATTCAAATACCCACTATGTCCGATACAAGAAAAGGGGAGAAGAATCCCAATTCATATACAAAATAAAGTCGAAAAAGAAATCGAGAAGTTATTGACAGAAGGTCATATAACAAAACTTGATAAGTGTACAAGTGATTGCTTTATCGCCCCGATTGTGATAACAGTAAAGAAGGACGACTCAATAAAATTGGCAATGGACGCGAAACCAATCAATAGACAATTGTTCAAAAACAAATACCAAATGCCAAATGTAGATGAACTTATTGATGGGGTAAGCCAGATTGTAACTGAAAACAAAAAGGGTACGCTATATTTTTCGGTGTTAGATTTGAAATATGCGTACATTCAACTAAAATTAGCTGCGGATACAGCTAGGCAATGCAACTTTAACATTGTGGGCGGAAAAGCAACCGGAACTTACAGATTCTTGACAGGATTCTACGGACTAGCAGATATGCCAGCTGAATTTCAAAAGGCTATGGATAGAACCATCAATCACGCTAAAAACACGTTCTGTTTTCTGGATGACATACTTATTGTGTCAAAGGGAAGTGAAATCGAACATGCCAATCTAGTAGAAGCAGTATTAAAGAAATTGGATGCGGAAAACTTGGCACTGAAACTATCAAAATGTGAATTTTTCAAACAAGAAGTGAATTGGTTGGGTCATCATCTCTCAGAAGAAGGGGTTAGACCGAAGATCACTAAAACGGAAGCGGTAGTAAACTTGAACCCGCCCAAATCCCTAAAACAACTAAGGTCATTTCTAGGAAGTATAAATCATTTAGCTAAATTTATACCTAACGTTGCAAGTCTGACAGAAAAATTAAGACCACTTCTTAAAGAAGAAAATCAAAAGAAAAAGTTAAAAAACATGAAACTACCGGTGAAAAAATTCGAGTGGGGGGATGTTCACACAGAAGCATTTAATGCTATAAAAGGAGCTGTGGCGAATATTACGAAAGTACATTATTACGATGCAAATCGTGATACACGAGTTAAATGCGATGCTAGCCATGATGGACTAGGGTCCACTTTAGAACAACAAAATGATGAAGGGTTGTGGGTCCCAATTTCGTTCGCATCCCGATACTTAAATGCGCAAGAAAAAAAATATTCAACAAATGAGTTGGAATTATTGGCAGTTGTTTGGGCAGTAGATAGATATAAACACTACCTTCTGGGGAAACCATTTACCATCGCAACTGACCATAAAGCGCTTACAACAGCACTGGATGTTAATCAATCGAACAAGACCTACCAATCGCGCCTAACCCGGTGGGTTGACCGGTTACTGCCGTATCAGTTCAACATAGTTCACATTCCGGGGAGGGACATGGGCATAGTTGATTATTTATCGCGTGATCCTTTCAATGATCCCTGGCCCGAATCAGAATTAGACGAAAAGTTTGTAGTAGCAACAATAAACTCTTTTCATGAAACGTTCGACTGCTGGAGCAGTAGGCTTAAAGATTCAAGGTCGCTCAACCGGAACGAAAACGTTCTAGAATGTTCTAGAAGGAATGTTAGGAAACAGTCATCAAGTAATGGTTGCTATAGCAACCAAAACGGTCAAAACCGAACAAAGCTCGACCGGAACGAGAGAAAACAGTTTCCACGACTGCAAAAACAGCTGAACACAACAGTTCAACAGAATCAAATCACTCTTTTGTCAAATCAACCCAGCAAACAGTCAGTCTTAAATAATTGCAAAACGAAAAAACGACCAGTACCGAAAAAAATAGAAAAAACAGACTCAAGAATCGAGATGTCAGAAAATGCAACCAGAACATACGACTGGTGGTCCAGCCCACCACAAGATTGGCGGAACGAGGAGCGTGAAGAAAGCCTAATGGACCCAAAGTGGAACCGATCATTTTCCACTAATAACGAACTCTCGGGAGAGGAGGAGATCACAGAGACAGTACAACGTACGAGAAAAATTATACGAGGAGGCAGAAAAAATAGGGACAGCTCAGGCAGCGAAACACGTCAAGCACAACGAGTAAAATGGTCACTGGAACCGGAACAACAACGAATAGCGGACCAAAGACTGCTCTCATTCTGGCAGCTAATAGGCGGAGAAAACAATGTTCAGGAAAATCGAGAACTGGTGGCCGATACTCAAGAAGTCAGGGACAATGTGGAAGACGAATCAAGTCCAACATCGTCAAAACCGATCGCATCGACAGAACGAAAACTCAGTGAGGTGAATGTATTAGAAGTCGACCTTACAACCACAGAAGAGGCGGAGAGTGAGGAGGAAGTATGCTCAATTCAACCGCCAAAGGGTCTAGGAAAATTAAGACTGCAAAAGCAGCAACAAGTAGAGACTCTGGACAACCTCGCAAAACTATTCGACAAAAATTTATTAGCAGAACTGACCACAGAAGACACGTGGATGGACCGCCTCAGGAGAGTGGTAGAGAGAGGGGACAAACAAGGATTCGAATTGATGGGACCCTATACAAATCCGTTGTGGTCGCAGATGGCAGTTCAGGACGATTGCATCTTAGTCAATAATCGGCTAGCGGTACCAGTCCAACTACGACAAGCTGTCCTCAAACGAATACATCGGGGACACCCAGGACAGGAAGCGATGTTGGGAGCAGCGCAATATCTGTGGTGGCCACACATGAATAAGGACATCGTGAATTTGGCAGAGGAGTGCCGTAGTTGTACCAGATATGGTAAGAATGTTAAATACCTTATTTCGAAAAATTCGTCAAAACCACTACCACTGCTCACGCAGCCGGGACAGGAGGTACAACTAGACTACGCGGGGCCTATAGAAAATCAGAAAGGAAAAAAAATCTATCTTTTAGTAGCTATTGATCGATTCTCAAAATTTCCATCAGTGAAGGTTACAAAATCCACAAGTGGAAAGAGCACAGTAAAATTCTTGAGATCATATATCGACACACATGGAGTCCCTGAATCAATTCGATCGGACCAATTTTCAGGATTTAAGGGAAAAACTCTAAAAAAATTTTGTTCGGAACTTAATATCGAACAAAAATTCTGTCCGGTGGGGGATCACAGAGGTTGTGGGTTGGTTGAACGTACAATTCAAACAATAAAAAGAAGACTGGGAGTGATGATGCTCGATGAAAATAATAAATCAATCAAATTATGTCTCAGTATTATAATGCGAGATTTACGATGGATCAAGCAGAAAACAATTCAAGTATCCCCGTTCCAAGCACATTTCGGCAGACTACCAAAAACAGAATTTAAAATTGTGAGGGATAGGTTTTTAAATAATTCTGATTCTTTAGACAAACAACACTTGGAACGCTCAGCACTGACTGCGTCTCAAATGAAACGGAGGATTGATCAGTCGAGAGAGAATCTCAAGATAGTGCGCAAGGGACAACTGAGCAGGGATACAAGCCCACTGCACAAGCAGCAGATAACATCGGACAGAGACAAAGAAAGAGCCAAAGCCCTAAAGGAATTGTTGGAGGCAAATGCCCGATGGAACTACGAAAGAAGGGATGCAGCTAAAAATGACATCAGGAAATTAGTGGACGAGACAGGTCAACTCAATCCCGATCTTCGAAAAGAAATGATTTACTCTTGGGAAAAAGGATTCGTGGAAGATAAAGTAGAAAACCAATGCAAGTCACCACCCAAGACAATACTTAGAAAGGACCCTCTAAGGAAAAGCGGACAAGCCCTAACCAGACCACTAAAGGGGAAAATAGCTTCAGAAACGGAATCAACAATTAAGACATCGGCCGGTTCGATCTATAGAAAATCGGACATAGCTCAATCAAAAACCGTACTTACTCAAGAAAAACAGAGAAGCACAAGTAAAAGTCCATCGTCGGAACCTACAAGAAAGTTCAAGCGAATCAGTTCTCCAGAACTACTAGAGGAACTGGAATCGGAGGATGAACTCCAAGGAGAAATGGAAATTACAAATGAAATGAACCCAACAGAGCGCTTTCAGAAGAGCCAAACAATAGTCACTTCTAAGGACACAGAAGCCGGGGGAGGACTGAATCTTGCAATAAAAAGAGCTAAACCAAACCTGGCGGGACCAAAATCAGCAGAGGAAACAAACACGAATAAGCCGGAAAAGAGCGGAAAAGAGAAGAAAAGCCGAAGCAAGCAACAACAGGGAACCAACGCAAACCAAACTGCGACTGCAGTCAACTCGGAACAAGAGCAAGCAATATCTAAGCCGGATTCGGTCAGGGCAGATACCAAAATCCAGTCGAGCTCTACGCCGAAAATCAAACAGCGTCCGAAACTGAAGGGCATTGACGCGCACACCCCTTTGGAAGATATAGTGGAGACGTTTCACAATAGAAATTTGGCACCGTCTGACTGGGAGAAGTACGCGGACCAACTGTTAAAAAGAGGGGTGCAGCGAGTTGCGGATGAACTTAGAGAAAATCCTCAAAAAGGCTCAGAATTGGATACAAACTTCGAACCACCACAAGGATTCTCGGACGAATCAAGTGCGGAAGAGTCAGGTGTTCGACGAAGTTCTAGACAAACAAAGAACAAAGAACCCAAACGATTCGGAGATCCGATAAAACATTCAATCAAAGAAATATCCGAAATTCTTACAGGAAGAGGTCTTTTAAAGGAGGCACTTAAAGAATACAGAAACCAACTGAGAGATTTCAAAGATCGGGACGACAGACCCTTGGAGTCAAAAGTGCGACGACTCGAAAGACATTTATTTATGCGAAAATTCGGATATGCTACTTTAGATGAAGGAGTAGATTGGAACCCGAGTTGGGAAATTGAGCTGGAGGAAAATTGAAATTTACATAATACATCTAAAAGACTTTCTTCAGAACTGAGTAAATTGAACTCTTTTAAATAAATTATCCTACTGATGTTGTATAATTTATTTCTTTCACCGAGGGGGGTGTGTCATACCGCTACTGCAGTAGCAGTATTTATTATACGTATGTACAGCCAACCTCTGGTGTTAAATCATTATTTTATGGTACGCTCAAGGTCATACATAAGTGATGACACTGAGACTAAGTGAGAGATCAGAGTACTTAACAATGATCTATCTCTCAGTACATAAGAAAACAAAGAAAAGAGAAAATCTAAATTCAATATTCAGAATACAGTATTGAATTCCAACTTGTTTTCAATTTGATATCGCAACGCATATCACAGCCTTGATACGAGCAGTCTTATTTTATCTTACTGTCATAGAAGTGAAGACACTTATATAAGTCATGATTTTATCCGGTTTTTTTAAGGAAAAAGTCTAAAGTTTTTGCGGCGTGACTTTTGATTTGTTTTCAAATTCTATTCAAGTTTAATCGCTTAAGATGAAGTTACGCTCTCCGGTTACAAAAGCGAAAAGGCTCGAAAAACCTGAATTACTTTATGGTTCAAAAGTGGATTAAATGTTTAGAGTTCGCAGCAAAATGAAAATTAACGTATTGGTTCAGTTTTCTAAAATCGGGATAATTTAATCGAAAAAGAGACAATCATATTTTGTTTTCGAAATTCAAAGAGTTTTAACGCCATTTCTTCCAAAATCAAAAATTGAGATTTATTCAAAAAAAAAAACAAGACAGTCATGATTTCTGTTTCGTTGCGCTCAAAGACACTTTTCCATGTTTATATAATAAGGAAGCAGTAGCTTGTCCTCTGTTTGTTATGTTTAACTTTGTTTGTTACGAAACATAAATATAACGTTTGTTATGAAACATAAATATAACTTTTTGAAATTAGAAGTGTGAGTTTAGACCCTCGACTACAAAAAGATTTATGATTCCATGGCCAAACCCGCATTCCTCTTTGACGGCAGACTCCTTCTAGAACATTCTAAACTCCAGAAGATAGGCTTCAAAGTGGCATGTGTGGGAAAGAGACTGGATGTGGCTGGCTATTCTGTAGACACAATGCCAGCATCGCCCACTATACCTTTATAGATGGGAGTGGGGGAGGATTTTTATTCTTATAATAGAGAGGGTGATTTCAAATGAAAGCTTTAAAGACTCGTTTATAGACGGTTGCAATAAATTGGAGAATTGTATCAGCTAATTTTTGCTATCAAACAAATTAGATAAAAGTTTTTATGTCAAGGTCACTTCTCAAAAAGGTCACCTGATTTGATAATAATGGCAGACTCCAAGTTCTTTAAACCTTATTGTTATATTTGGTTCCAATTTTTTGCAACTCTCTTTTGCAACTGGCCTTACGGATAAAAAGAAAGAGCTGCGACAAATCGACGCACAGCTAATGTTTAATTTGATGAATCTGGAACAATGTGGCCAGTTTATGTTGATGGGTTCCAGAAATTAAAGCAAAATTGTCCAAATTAAAATTATTTTTGCTCCTTTCTGCCTTGACAAATCTTGTTTTTCAAAGTGTTCACCACCTTCTTTTATCGAATTCATGCTTTAATACAAAAAAATGTTTGTTCAGAAGCTTGTAAGAAGGTTGCGAATGTCGACTGTTATAGATTTCGACTAAGTGAAGTCTTTTGCTTTAGTATCTGGTTAGCCTTCGCATCTTAGAGTATATCATATCTATATCACAACGCAGTAGTCCAGTTAATTAAATCGGACAATTGAACGAAAAAATCTTGGGGAATTTTATACTCTTGAAGTCAATCAATTATCAGTTAAATTGCATACAAAAATGATAGTTGGCTTCGTGGCGTGAGAAAAACGAGCATGAAGACGGTTTCCCTTATTTTGTTTGACATGTAGAACGCGAAAACGGAGTAGCGCCCGTCGAGTGGGTTAAGGCACGCGTCTCTCAACACGAGGGTCTCGCGTTCAAATCCCCTGTGGGTCACAGTTGAAGCGGTCCTAGTGTCATCCGCCGCAAAGTGGGACCGGCTGAATAAATGCGCATGCTGTTTTCGAAATTTTTATGAAATTATGTTTTCAGGGAATTCTATAATTTAGGGACCCAACTATCATATATCGTTTGTATCTCATAAATTGTGCTTTAGCCCAATAAATTTTGTATTTTTTGTCATTGTTTGATGCTTATTTTTCTATGTAATTTTCCTTGTATTATGGAGTAAGAGGCGATTGTGCTGCACTTGTGAATACCTTTTGACGCTGTAATTTTCTTCAAGTAATTGTTGTACAAATTGACTTAATTGGGTAATTCAAATTATATATCTGTTTTTTTTCTAAGATTTCGCAACTGAAAATTAAAGTTTCTAAGAATTAATTGTTTAACAGAGCTAGTCTTTTTTTGTGGCAAAACCTTGTTAAACTTTTTTTTCGCTAGAACCTAGTCTTAGAAGTTTTGTCATATGATTTTACCAAAGTTACCAGTTTTGCTAAATTAAAATTTAAATTCTTAATTCTAAATCTAAATTTTAAATAGACTTACTGCAGTTCCATTGCAGTTGTTGCTCCAGGACATGCAAAAGAAAACTCAAACTTCTCTATTAAATTGTGAAAACCATTACGAGGCCAAACTGTGCATTTTAGAATTAAATTTGGATTCCGCAACAAGGAGGATCCCTTTGTTCTTTTCTTTTTTTGTTTTCTTTGATGGCTCCGACACAATTTCAATATATTTGAAGACTTGTCTCTCGAATATAGGAACATTCCGACTTAGAATTGTGCGCCTATCCATTGCACAGTTTGGCCTCGTAATGACGCACTCTATTGTTTCGAGAAAGAAGAGGCAACGATAGATAAGACAGTTGTTTAAAACGATAAACTCAGAACTTGCGTTTTTTTTCTCAGAGCTTGTCAACGTTTAGGGTGAAAAAGGATGGTGAAAAAATTCCAGCTGACAAAGGTGAAAAAATTCCAGCTGACAATTTCGGAGACATCAAAAATCGGATACCTCAAATGACGTCAGTCAAAAATATAACCTCGCATTTGATGTAAATTATTCACAAAAGTTATACAAATATTAATAGTAATGAACGTACTGGATCTTGCTGATTTTTTATTTCAATGTTTTGAGGAAAAAGTTTGTTCACGCTCATTTTGATTTTTTGGAGTTTGAATCGTATTTTTTTTTCAAGTTCAGTAATTGAGGCAATGAAAATTTTTTTAAGGTTAGCATTACTATTGTCGAAAGGCAGGCAAACTCCACTATCGAATAGCAAAATTGTAAATGTCATGAGAAACGTGATCGTCTTCTAATTTCGAAAATGGAAATTATTTATCAGATTCCCCAGCGAAATAAACATTTTTACCTATTAATCCAATTTTCTTATGTTGGGTTAATTTGAACAAAAAAGTGTCCCTCATAAATTCTTCTACAAATTCAAAAAGCTTCAAGGCCATCTATTTTTTTCTTTGAAATTCAAAATTTGAGTTTTTTTGTAAAAATAAGTGTTGTTTTTTTTTCAGTTTCCTTGCGTTCATGAATCTTTTACAACTGTTAGGTGGCTATGTTTTTCTTTTGCAGCTGAAAAATTGAAACCTACAAGAAAGTGAAAGTTGTTTTGTGACAATAAACAAAATAACTCAACTGATGATGTTCAACCTTGAGTTTTCGTTAAATGAAAAAGTATAGTCATCAAACCTTGAAAATCAGTGAATTTTCACCTGTCAAAAAACATGATCTAGAGTGCGACTTTTTGGAAATGGATTCAAAGTTGTATGACTAATTCGATTACGATAGCGAACGTTTTATTTTTCAGATTCCAGACACTTGCCTTTCCGTACTGTCAGCGTCGCTATGGTGATGATGATGAAATATTGGATTGGAATCTAACGTTAGATCGGAAATCTGTTGAGATATGTCTTCATGGAGTCTAAATTGCAAAAAGTCATAAGACAACCACCCGAAAAAAGAATCGAAATTTGTTTTAACTGAACATTATTGGAGTACTATTGCATCGGAACGGGCTTCAGAGTTACCAATCTACCACCTTAACAAAAATCAAGTTCGAAATGCAGAAGAATAAACTCAAAGATCAAAAAACGAAATCAAAAAAAATTGCTCATTTTTGATTGAAACCCTTTTGATTGAAAGCCTCTCAGTTTATGCAAGTTTTAGAAGTTATAAAAATGGTTTTATGTGTTTTTTAATTGTCAAACAATGTTTGCTGTAATTTCTGTTTGTTTTTATAATTTCCTATTGAACAAAATGAAAATATTTTGGTGCCAAAAAAAGTTGCTAAAACAATCATTCGCAATGAATTTATACCATTTTTTTCTAAATAGAACCGCTTGTTTTGCGAAACGAACACAACGCTTGTCATTTTGCGCTGACGATTAAAAACAATACTGAACATGAAAACTGTTCCTCCCGCCGAGGTTTTTTTTAACGGGTAAATGAAGGGGTCTAAACGAAAATGGAGCGATTAAGTTATATACTACTTATGTTAATTTTATTACGCTGCGATAAGCGAGAGTTATCAAATCGAAAAAACTGACTACTCTTTGGTTAACAACTAGTTTAACAAAATCATTTGAATCACTTATGATGATACTACGCAGCTGACATGCTCAATTTTATGAAAACCCAAATTAACTTATGGGTGGGTACAAGTCAATACTAATATATGCTATAACTAAAACTCAAACCATTGTGTGTATAGTTATGTTGGTTTAGTTTTCAAATTCTGAAGTCCAATTTGCACACGCTATTCACATAGCTATCGTGGATCCTATTTGGGCGTTACATACAATTTTTTCCAAAATGATTTTTCTTGACAAAAATTTTTGACTGAGTTTCAGATAATCGGCTTTCGATTTTATTTCAGTCCTCATATAGCAAAAATTTTCGCGTAAAACGTCCGTTAGTGCTTTTTGTATCGATAAGACCCTACCACCAGTGTTTGAATGCCCATAATACCGGACTGGGTCTTTTTGGAAAAACTTCAATAAATATCAATTCAGAAATTATATTTCTTCGTTTTCATTTTTTTTTCACTTTGCTACTTCCTGCATCAATTGTAACCCTGTTTGAAGTAATCTTTGCTAATTTTTAAGCGTCATGTTGCTTTCAACATTGTTGAATCGCAAGTAGTGAGAAGCTCAGCTTTGCCTCTTGGTAATTGGAATCATAGTGTTATTTGACGTTACACAAAAATTATTTTTTGTCCAAACGTTCAACAAGCGTTTCTATGGCAAAAAAAATCCAAAAAAAAGAGGAAAAACAGCGAAAAAAATAGAAAAACTTGATATTTCATGTCTGGTTTGTTTTTCGTCAGCAACTGTCAATTATGCCTTATATGTGTTGTAGAGTACCCATTTGATCCTTTTGTCACGCCACGCATAAAGAACAGCAGGCCCAGTGCGAGGCTATTGTTGCTGTATGAGTTGTTTTTATCCAGCTCAATTTCTACAATTTACGGGTTTTATATTTTTATATTACGAAGCCAAATTGTGTACTCTGTGAAACTTAACTTGATTACCGAACAGGCTGGAAACGAATTTGCCGCGGAAACCGCAACTTTGCTACTTCTATTTGATCTTTTTTGCTGTTTAGATTATCTCTAACAAAAAGCTAAAAAAAAAACTATCTCTCAAACTTGCTCCAAAAATAAACAAATTTGCGGAATCCGGAATAGTTAGTGGAGCGCACAGACAAGTCTATATTAATTACATTTCAAAATACTATTCAGCGGAATCCCTTAACAATTGCGGAATCCACTGACATCATTATCTAACACATTAATTTTTTGCTGAAACCATTCAAATTTGCGGACTAACTACGTTACATGTGTTGCGTTATAGCTATTGATGCGCGGAATCCACGGTTTTTTTGCGAGTGGAATCCACTTACATTTTGAAACACGTTTAAAGACGTGTTTCCAGATTACAGTATTCTCGAGACATTAAACAGTGCGGATACCCAGTGCAAATTTTGGCCTTGTAAGTTAATATTTCTCAAAAAATTATTGATACTTGAATTTGTGTTTTTTCTCAACAGTTTTTCATTAATTCTCTTTTTGAATTTTTTTAATGTGATTAGTTAAATGCATTAAATTTTAAGCCAAAAAAAACAAAAGCGAACCTATTTGCTTCAGTTTTCACCAACTGTCATAAATTTTTAACTAATAAATCTTGATGGCGACTGTTTCACTCATTTTCCCTCTTTTGGTTGAAATTTTGTTCTTATTTCCTTACAAATACCCCCAAAAAATACAAAAGCATTTTATTAATGAAAAAATGCTTGTGCAGGTGGATTTTTGAAGAGTTTTGAAGCAATTTTGCGGACCTTTCTAAATTTTTGGATGATTCTTAAGTATTTTAACCACCTGGAAACTTAACAATAGAGACGCCAAATTTTTTCTGAACATGAAAATGGCAATGGTTTTCTTTCGTTTTATACAATTATTCTTTTATAATAAAAACGAATTTAAAAAATTGGACTATCATTCTGAAGCAAAACCTTCCTTCGCAAAATAATTTTAAAATTTGGGCAATCATCTTTCGACGAAAATGAAAATATTCTTCGTTTATCATATTTTTTTCTTTATTTACTTGAATTCTTTTGTTTTTGGAGATTACACTTGTCCCAGTAATACTGGCATGAGAATTGTCAATTGTGACTTCGTACTTCCAAAGAATCCAGTTTCGTCTATAGCACAGGTGGGCCTTATATTTTGTAATAATAATTTAGAATCAACATTAAACTGTTAAATATAATATCTTCCGCCCTTTCATGTGTAGCACGCTCAGCGTGTTATCGAATTTTCGGAAATCGGTCGAACCCAAGAAGTCGGCTTCTCATGAGTTTAGACCAGGGGCGATTATTCGCCAAAGAGAATTAACTAAATGACGAAGTTTTGATGTTCTATAAAATAAATTTCAGAATTTTGACACATTTTCGAAATGAGATTCCCGATTAATCAAAAAATTAAGTTTTGACATTTCACAACAAAATTATTGAACTTATTTCACTAGTTTGTGCTGAAAATCATCAAGATTGCTTAAGTTATACAGACTGAAAAAAATTATTGGTCGAAGCAGACAGTTTGCGTCGAGGCGGACCGAGCAGAATCTTTTTTTTTGCAATTTTGGCCGAGCCGGTCGAAACATAAATCTCGAAAATGTCAACCCGGGTTATACTCACGTATAACCAACCACTAACCAAACTTCTTTCATTTTTTAACGAATTCTTTTATTATGACTTCTACCCTCTATTAGGTTCCTCGTGTGGGTGTGAGTTTGGAACAGTGTGTGGATAACATGGAAGCATTCAAGTGGGAGCTCGGAATGTTCTGTCCCTCCAGTCACTTCTGCGGACTCGGAATCGACCTCAGGTATTAAAACTACTCTGTTTAAACATGTGATTATTAGTAATTTTTTTTTCGATCTATTTACTACCAAACAATTGTTTAAACAGATTAAGAAAACAAAAACATGTGATGGCTAAAAAACTTTTTCAGTGTTTAGACCATTAAACTTTTGAAGTAATCAGACATCCAAGTTTGGAACACAAAGACTTTATTGTTAATTAATTTTTTGAAGCTGCTGCTGAAAATCTTTTTTTGAGCTGTTGAGTGTTAGCTTTAAAAATTATCTCTTGGTTTGAACTAAAATGGGACGGATTTTTTAAAATTATTTCCCCGTGGGAGATTCGTTACTAACTACAAAATTTACATATGCTTAACGATTTTAAAGAGTTGTTTCTTTATAAAGGTGGCAATTTTAGTTTTTGCAACCAACGCTTCCCAAAGTGGGTATTTTTTTACCACCGCGACCAAATGGTGTTTTCCTAACTTCTTATTAATTTCCAGCGTCCGGTATGACATGCGACTGGCGCAGGAGTTCGAGCCCCTCTGGGAGACGTGTTTCATGCTCACTGATGAAGAGCAGTTCAGTTGTCAGGCTGTTCGCAGCCTGCTCTACGAGTCTACACTTCTCAGAGGTAAAATTGTGTCTAGTATTTTTTACTTATTTGACCCAAATTTCATTGTCTAGTAAGGATCTCCCACCTTTTGGAAAAGGGGGGATTTGGTACTAGCTACAAAACTTACTTATACTCAACCATTGATTTATTTCTTTTGGAACCTGATCTAAACTATATTTTATGATTGGATAAATTAGATATTTTACCACTGTAAAGTATTTAATATTAACCAATCATGATCCATCTAACTAACAACCCACTTATTCTTAAGTGCTGAAATTACTTGTAATTTCAGCACCAGAGAGATTTGAATTTAACTAAGAAATTAGTTGTCTCTCCAAGAGAACTTCAGCAGCCGCAACAAACCAGTATACCCTAGATCTATTGAGCCTAGCAGAGACTAGTTAAACACCCTGAGACTAGAAAGTATAAGAGTAAGATTAGGATCGGTATTAGACTAAGAAGTTGCACGAATCTATCCGGCCGAAAATAAGATAGCGTGACGAGCAGACGGTGTACCCTATCCGAAATTACTCTATGAGTTAACCACATCGGTCTTAACTCATCTGGTGCGACCATAAGTCTCGAATAAGACCTTAATAGCTTAGCTTTAACCAAAAATAGACTAGAATTTAGACAAAACATTTTTAAATTGTTATACGATGATAATTTAATCGAAATGTCTCTACGACTCAATAGATCAGAGCCGATATTCCGAACGATAACAGAACTACCCGGAATCGTAAGAAGACCTCGAACAAGAGACGACATACGACAAAGTAGAAACTTACCATATAGTTATACGATTGTACGGCAAAAGCCAACACAAACTTTTATATTTAGAATCTTATTAGCAATGAATTTAGATTTTCATTTGCAAACATAAAATTTTGAAGTCAATCTTCATAATCATTTCAGGCGCTAAACAAAATTATTAATATACAATAACGATTGATAAAAAGATCTCAGATCGTTTTCTTAAATTCTGCAGTCTTATATAAAACACGTTTGAAAAATATTTATTGAAAATCAAAACAAAAATTAGTAGCATGACAATAAATTGTTAGTAATCATAAAATCATCTGTTGTCCCAGCTTCATCAACTAAACATAACAGCAATCATAAGCTCACTAATACCATTAAAAAATTAAATCTTTTTCTTAAACCATTTTAAACTTAAATTCATTTAATTTTAAAATCAGATCATCAAGGCTTATCCTTGGATCTTAATTAATTTCCTATTTCACTAAATTCAGTAACCTGATCATCAAGGCCTATCCTTGGATCAAAAAGAACAATTTTGTTCTCCCCCACCCACTTAGCAAATGTCTAACGACCTCAAACGTCGATTCACTATCCAACCCTTCCAAAAAACCCAAGACTAATAGAAATTTTTCAACAAAACTAACCATTCAAATTAGGATAAACAGTGAAGAACTTCGGTTATTCATCCTTCACTTGAACCCTCCTCTTACCAGACCCAGGATAAATCTTAGACTTAGTAAGTTTAAAATAGTATCTAACGAACTACTCGCGTTCTAATTATACCTGAACCTTGTGGATCGATTTACTATTCTCCAACCCTTGAACACAATCACTACCCCTAAGTAAGATTAAGTAAGTTAACACCTTAGCTTATACTAGCCACGAGAAAGTAAAAAATCATTCTTTGGAATCGATATACTTTTCTCTCCAACCCTGAACAAATAGACCCAGGATAAGCTAACCAAAAAATCGTAAGGACTAACAGTTTAAGAAAGTAGACATCATCTAACAACTTTTTGCATCCTTCATCCTAAACCTTATGTCATTCAAAAATCTAGGAAATAAACAAACAACCGTTTTACACAACTGTGAAATAGATAACAAAAAATACGATCTTGTAATCACACCACATACACAAAACATTAAAGGACACTCTGGATCAGAGAAAACATATTCAAATTTCATACAAAATTTTTATTTCCCAAATGCACCAATTTGGATAAAAGTACTATGCAATGATTGTAGAGTATGTCAGCTAAATAAGCGTTATCCAAATCAAAAACAAATAGCACAAAAACAAGATTTTAAAGGACAAAGTTTATATTTCAACCATCGTATTTCATTCGATACAAAAGGACCAATTTCACCATCATCTGAAGGAAACTCCTACATTATGGTAATTGTTGACGCGTTTACACATTATGTAGCACTTAACCCAGTACCACATTGTAACGCTTATTACGCTTACACAACACTTTATGAACACTGGATAGCCAAGTTCGGATTACCCGAAATTTTACTTCCAGACAACGGTACAGAATTCCTAAATAATGAAATCATCACACTATGTCATTTATATAACATTGAGCACAAACCGCGTACATCTCATGCACCTTGGACAAACGGTTTAGTCGAAGGTATGAACCGTTCACTACAAGAATATCTTAGATGTATCATAAATGGAAATGATACAAGATACACCGAATGGTCAGCAGATGTAAAATTATTTCCCTTAGCATATAATTCACAAATCACGACAACTCTAGGAATGTCACCATATGAAATGGTTTTTAATCAAAAGCCACGTAAACTAATTATGTTTACAGCAAACTCTCATAAAAATGCACAAGGTCATTGTCAACCGAATAAAGACTCAATTTGTTATGACCTACCTTTACACACACATGATGAAGATCGTTTTCATCACCCACAAATCCTTAAATTAGCCTCCGGTACACACACCGAATGGATTTTAAATAGAGATAAAAAACACAACGAAATTTACCAAAAAGTAACAAAAAAATTGTTACAAAGACAAAACATTAACGAACAAATAAATTCACGCTTTACACCAGCCTCCGAATTAAAAATTGGAACATTTGTCTTAATACCAAATTTTAATACACAAAAAGGAATTTCTAAAAAATTACAACCCCTTCGTAAAGGACCATACCAAATAACTGCCAAACCCACTGACGTAACATAAATTCACCGATTCAGACCAAAAAGAAATTGTTCAACATAGAAACAATCTCTTACCTTATTACCCAAAAGAATACGCACTATGTGAATTAACTCAATTATATTCTTCCACAGGTTTAAAAGATATTCAAAATCACCTACATACGGAAAATGAAAGAAATGAACAAAATGACATTCACCTTGAAAAACAAAATAAAAAATCAACTACAACCAAAAACAATACAAAAAAGCTAGATCAAAATATACCTCAAAAAGAAAGAAAAAACAGAAGAATGACAGAAAAAATTATACCCCAAGAACAAGTCGAGAAATCAGAACAAAGAGAGTCATCATGACTTAGAAATCAACCACGCAAAAACTACAAAACATTCATTCCACAATCTAAAATATTAAAGAAAGTTGAATTTCAAAAACAGCTTTAATTTTAAAAAAAATAATCTTTGCACCTCTGAAACGTTTTGAACTTTCATTTTTCAAAATAAGATGCTGACAAACACGCAGCGATTCTAGTTCAAAATTAGCCAATAGGATTCATTCAATCCGTCACCTTCTACAACTCTAACACAAACCAATTAGACGAAAATATTAACCTCCAGGCATATCTATAACTATAACTTTACAACCTCCAGGTCAAAAATAAGCAAACCACTCAAACTTGACAAGTAAAATAAATACCACCATAATATCATAACCCTCCCTTATCTAATAACGCAAAGATCAACAATATTTCCCAACTCAGACCTCAAAAACCCCCCAAACAAAAATGTTAAATTAGCCTAAAGTAAAAGTACGACCATATTAATTTAGCCTAAAGTACAAAAATCTCAAAAATACCCCAGATCACCTGACAAATAAAAATAAAGTAAAAGAAGACCTCCCAAACACCATAAAATTCGCCCCCAACAATTTTTCACAAAACTCAACCCACTTGTCAAAAAGCCAATAAATAATTCGACCACACTTGAAAATTGCCCCAAACAACAAAAAATATTCGATCAAGAAGCCATTTCTTAAATGCTCTTCTCTCGATCAGTCAACATAATTTTCAACATTTTCATAAACTTTTTAACAATATTTAAACTTTTATTCATATTTCTTTTTGATACCTTTGAAGCTTTTGTAATAATCTTAATCATTTTTTGCAATATTTTTTTAATTTTCTATTCCATATTTGAAATATATCTCCAACTTTCCCAAGCCATTGACCATATTCACAGGTACGAAAACCCAAAAATTATTTAAATGATACGAACCATTTTTAGTAGAACAGATATTTTTTTACTATTTGTAATTTTTATAACATTTTTATCATCCCTCATATTGACAATATGCAAATGTATAAAGAAGGCAGTCATAACATTGGCCTTAGCAACAATCCTTTTAATTCTTTTTTCTAGAAGAATACTACAATAAACATAAATTTTTTCACTAAAAAGAAATCAATTAAAAAACCCTCAAAAATTGCTAACCAACAATCACACAGTCAGTCTTCACCGACAACATCCCAAGAAAACCCGACACCACCTACAACTACCCAAAACCCCCAAACATCTACACGAATTTCTTTCCAAGATAACCCATATACTTTTGAAGAACGACACGCTCGCTTATCTGAACCACTAGAACCAGTTCAGCGACAGGCACCTCTAAGTGAACCAACATATAACTTGTTTCCAACACTACCACAAGAATTAAGTAGAATACGAAATATTAGTCAAAACCAAAATACAGTTGAAATAATTAGACAAATTATACATCCACGACGAAATAGAAATTTTCAAACCCCCCGAGTTCATTTTGATATACCCCAATCCCCATCACCAAGTACTCCGGAAAACCCAATTAGCATATTACCGGAAACCCCTACACTTCTTTCACAACGTAGCACCTCATGTATACCCTCAGATTACTTAAGTTCAACACCAACATCTGAACAAATACGTGAAAATCCCTTTAACCCCCCAAACCAAACATCACGACTACCATATTGGACAACACAATCATTCACACAAGGTGAACCAAATTTAATAAATGATCCAATAGATATTTCT